AAAGTCTCTGATCTGCAGTGCTGGGATGAGCCTGACATCAACAGTAATGCACCCATGAGGACATCACTTGAAGAAGAACTATGGACTCATTGATGTGGAATGAAGTACTGATTTTAGGCAAAAATGTAGGATGTGGCCGTAAAGTCGCCTTGTCCTTTGAAAAAACTGTGTAAGGTGGATCAACCATCAATGTTCCTACCTCACTGACCCTCCTGGCAGAGGTGATAGCAATCAGACGCAGTACCTTCATCAGAAAGAAAGGCAGTGGACATGTACGGTGTGTCTAGACTACACCTCTCTGTCGAAGGAGTTGGAGGTTTTTTTTTAAAAAGCGATGGCCATGTTTATGCTAATGAAGTGTGAGATATTTAAATCCTCACTTCATTAGCAATTTCGATGTGCCTAAACTACATCTCTCTGTCGATAGAGAGGTGTAGTCTAGACACAACCGTAGTCATAGGTTCAAATGGGGGTCGCATAAGGCAATTGAGCACAAAATTGAAGTCCCATGAGGGTGCTGGGATGCTGTGTGTGTGTGGGGAGGGGGGGGGTAGAGATTCAGAAGACCCTGGAGAAATCTCCTCGTAGTAGAATGAGCATAGAGAGATGAACCATGGACCTGATCATGAAAGACCATTACCACCACCAGCTGCACCTTGAGGAAAGAAGCAGATAGACTCCCAATCTTTAGATGAAAAATGTAGCAAAATGGAGCTGTGTGGGGATCGATGTGTGCCTGTTGACACCAAGAAGAAAATGGCTTTCATTTCTGCAGGTAAGTAATTCTGGTAGATGGCCTCCTGCTATGAAGGAGAACAGATTTCACTTGCTCAGAACATTGGGATTCAGTCCTGTGGAACCAGACAGGAGCCATACATGTAGGTGAAGGATGTGAGACTGAGGGGGGACTAGTCTTCCCCAGTTCTGAGAGACGAGGTTGTGATGGTGAGGAAATGGATATGGTGGTTCTAGCAACATGCATTGGAGGTATGAAAACCAGGTCTGCCTAGACCATGAGGGGGCTATCAGGATGACTTGGGCCCTGTTGGGGTGAATCTTGCACAGGACCCTTGGAATGAGTGGGATTGGTGGAAATGCGTAGTGCAGTGGTTCGCTCCAATTCATCAGGAAAGTGTTTCCTAACAACCCCTGGCTGAGACTCACAAAGGAACAGAAGTGAGGATACTTAGTATTCCGCCGAGTGACAAAATGATCTATGGATGGATAGCCCTATCGATAGAATGTGGGGGTGAGCTCTGCCGGGTGAAACTCCTACTCGAGGTTGGTGGAGAAGTTGCAGCTTCTCATGTCCGCTGTGACATTGTTCACACTCGAGATATATGAGGCTCTTAAGGTGACTCCGTGGTGAATGCACCAATTATATAAACAGATGGTCTCTGCACAAAGGGATTGGGAATGGGCACCGCCCTGACTTTTTATATAGAACTTGGTCTTTGTATTTTCTGTAAGTACAGCTGGTCCCCAAGTTGCAAACGGTCGACTTATGATCATTCACAGTTACGACCGAAGCTGTTGTAAATGGCGGACCCCGAGTTACAAACGCAATCCGCGCTTACGAACAGCGAGGTCCCGTGTAACTCTATGGGGTCTGACTTACGAACAAACCGAGTTACGACCAATTGCTTCGTCTGTAACTGGTTCCTAAGTCAGAGAAAGGCTTTATGTGGATGATGCAGTTGGTAATGTTGGGAGCGAAGTGTGTGCATGCATTCCTCTTGGCTCTGAGTTCCAGGAGATTGATGTGTAGCAGAGTTTTGTGTGGCAGCCACCTGTCCCGAGCGGTAAGGTGTCACAGGTGCGTGCTTCAGCCCAGTAGGGAGGCGTCAGTAGTAATTTGTACCGTTGGTTTGGGCTGGTTGTATCAACAGGTGTGTTGTAAGCAAAACTCGTGAAGTCATTCTGCCGCTCTACTCTGCACTAGTTAGGCCTCAGCTGGAGTACTGTGTCCAGTTCTGGGCACCACATTTCAAGAAAGATGTGGAGAAATTGGAAAGGGTACAGAGAAGAGCGACAAGAATGATTAAAGGTTTAGAGAACATGACCTATGAAGCCAGGCTTCATGAACTGGGCTTGTTTAGTTTGGAAAAAAGAAGATTAAGGGGGGACATGATAGCGGTTTTCAAATATCTAAAAGGGTGTCACAAGGAGGAAGGCGAAAATGTGTTCCTCTTGGTTTCTGAGGACAGGACAAGGAGTAATGGGCTTAAAGTGCAGCAGGGGAGGTTTAGATTGGACATTAGGAAAAAATTCCTAACTGTCAGGGTGGTCAAATATTGGAATAAATTGCCAAGGGAGGTGGTGGAATCTCCCTCTCTGGAGATATTTAAGAACAGGTAAGATAGACATCTGTCAGGGATGGTGTAGACGGAGCTTGATCCTGCCTTGAGGGCGGGGGGCTGGACTCGATGACTTCTCGAGGTCCCTTCCAGTCCTATTATTCTATGCTTCTATGGTGTGGGTTTGCTTGCCTCAGATGCTCACAGCAGCCCTCAACTGAGGCATCACACCTAGGGCATCAGCTAGCTGTTTGTTGAGCTCCTCTCATTATTGGCCAGCATAAGTTATAAAGGGAAACCAAATGCCATAGTCTCGGTGGATCTCCAAGTGGTGCAGGACTGGGTAACCCTTTTCTTTTCCTCAGCCAGTCTTTTCCCTGAGTGGAAATGGGTGTTTGGGGGAACCCAGGCCCAGCCTTTACTCCGAGTTCTAGCCCTGGGACCTGTAATAGCAGCCGCCTATACAAGTCTCCAACACCTGCTGCAAGACAGCTACAAAACCCCTGAGCTACTTCCCCACACCTTCCCCAGCACCTTCCTTCTGTCAGGGTCATCCTCCTCGTGTTCACTGGTGCTTGTTTCTCCTAAATTCCCAGAAGCGCACCTTCTGTCCCCAGCTCCTCTCACACTAACTGTAGAGGAGCCTTTTTATAACCAGTCTCCACTGGTTCTTTAATTGGCCCCTAGTGTTCTAATCAGCATAAGCATACTTGATTCTGTAAGTCTGCGTAATTAGCTCCAGGTGCACAGTTGCCCTGATTGACTCTGGTAAATTCTCACTGGTTCTGGACTAACCTCTGCCAGTTGCCCTAGGAACAAAGATTTACTCAGTCTGAAGCTAATATACCTCCCTTCCATTACTCTTTGTATCCCTCTGGCCTGACCTTGTGTGACAGCACGTTGGGGTCCCCCGTCTCCTGCACCCCGAAATGGCACAAACAGACTGCACCAGCCGGTGGACTAGAGGAAGTTTATTGCCTCTCCAGGATACAGCACAGCACAGATGTAGTCTGGTCACAGAGCTGGGCTAGGATGCCTCAGGCCCCCTTGAGATGGGGGAGACTGGGCCCCTAAACTCCAGCCCCTGCTCCTAGGCTCTCCTCCATGCTCTCCCACAGTAACTAACTAAATTCCCTTCCAGCCCTGCCCCCCCAGCCAGGGACCTTCCTTTGTTCCTCTCCATGGTGGGTGTCTGGCCACTGGTTCAACAAGTTTGGCATTACCTCTGCCTAGCGAGGTTTTCCCTGCTGGGTCTTGCTCCAGACAGCAGGGGTCACCACAGCCCAGCAAGTACCCCCACTACGTCACACCTTGTCACACCACTTTGGCTTGAAATTTCTCCTTTGTCTTCTACCGCCAGAGAATATGAATGTGTGTATTTTCATGTGTACACATGTATTTTTATATATATTTTCAAGAAAGATTTAGGTTAGTTACACAAAGCTTTATAAAAATGTGTTTAAAAATGATTGTTGACTTTCCGAGAAGGCTTTTAATTAAACATATATCCCATTGGACACATTAAATTACCTATTTTTTGGGCCACATTTTCAGTGATGTAAATCAGCCCAGTTCCCATGAAGTCAATGGAGAGTTACACCAGCTGAGGACTTGGCTTCTTATGTACAATCGAGATAACTCATTAGTATCCATAATGATTTACATTTGAATCGGCTTGGGTAAAGTTCATTTACAAAAAGATAATTCCCCAGGAACATGCCTGGGGTAATTTCTTTAGCTGATTAGCATATAGGCTAACAATATGTGGGAAACCACTATCAAGTCAGAATTGACTACTACTATTAAATGTAATGAGTGGAAAGAAAGGTCCCATAGTTTATGCCCTATGCACATGGCCAATGGGCCAGGAGAGACAAAGCCCACATTTTGATGCCTTAAACTGCTCTTACAGTGTAAGGAGCATATATTAAATACACATTTCATTTTATATGTTTAACTCAATGTGTATATATTCATGAGTCACATGATACTTTCATTGTGAAAAAGGACTCATTGTTGAATCTCTAATCACACATCTCATCAACACACCCATATGTTTTAATACTTTGCAAAACTGGATTTTTTTTTTCAATTAACCACCCAAATATCAGTAAATGTAATTGTGCTCACTCAGTGATTTATTTTCCATTTAATGAAGTAGTAGCTTTAACTTCTCAAGGTAGGTCATTTTGCAAGACTCACAAGAACCATTCTGTTCTTCAGGTCCAGTGTCCAAATACTCGCACAGGCGAGGGAGGAGAAGGGGAAGGGAAATGAAGGAGTAGTGTCTGATTCTGCAGCCCTTAAGTTGGAAAAGTGCCAATCAAGGGACTGGGACCAGCAGCATGATTCCCAATACATGCACTACAGGTGCAATCATTTTGGGCCACCCTCTGTTTTTTGGTGGGTTACAAGACGAATGATCATTTTTAAAATTGTGTAATTCTAATAAAAACAATGTAAGAATTTAGCAATTTTGCCAGATCTCTATCTGGTGTGAATTAGCATAGTTTTGCTGATTTCAATAGTGCAGTCACAGACTTCAATAAAACTAAGCTGATTCGCTTTAATAAGGGATATTGCCCATGGTGTGTACTTTCAAAGTATAGGGAGAATTTAATAGCATGGGCCCAAAGCTCCAAACTGAGAAACTACATAGTCCCGGCAAAGCAGAGGGAATAAGAGAGAGAGAGAGAAGGCATTACAAATATTATTTATTATTTTTGTATTCAAATAGTACTTAGAAGCTCTGAGGAAGATTGGGACCACATTGTGCAAGGCACTGTACATATGCATAGTAAGAGCCAATTCTTGCCCAAAGAGCTCACTATCTAAACAGACAAAAGTGGGGGAAAGGGAGGTATTATTATTTCCATTTTATAGAGGGAGCACTGAATGAAAGAGAAATTACAGTACATCTGCACTGCAATCAAGCATGATTTGCCCACGGTCACATGGGAAGTCTGTAGCCAAGCACAGAACTGAACCCACATCAGAGTCCCAGTCTAATATCGCATCCTCAGCTTCTTTTTAGTCTGAAATCACTGCAGTGAAGAAAGGAAAGCTGTGCTTCCCCTAGACCAGCAACCTTTGGTAGTTACAGGAATCTTGCAATTTTTTACCTTATCTTGAAAACAGAGTTACTATAAAAATCAACAGATTTTTAAAATATAGAATGTAAATGTCAAGAGAGACTGGAGTGGTCTTATGGCTCTGAATATCTGACAATGTGACAGAAAAGAAGACAAATCAGACAATGAAAAGCAAAATGGTTCATACCAATCATATGAACCCATTTATATTAAATAGGATTTACATGCGTGGTAGAAGAGACTAAAGCTAGGCCAAGGTATACTGTTTAATCTCGAATATAATGCACACTTTTTTTCTAAGTTTTTGGGTCAAAGTCAGGGTGCGCATTATATATAGGAGTTATTGTTTAAAGTTTTATTTTGGCAGTTCCGTGTCAGAAGACGACAAACCTCCGCTATGCTGGCGCCACGCTAAGACGGCAGTAAACATGAAATCAACATCAACTGAAATGGCAGAGATTCCTAGAATGCTTTAAAATATTTAAAAACAATAAATAATATGAAATGTACGTCTTACTTCTTGTATGAAATACTTTATAGTCAATTAATTGCTGACATTTATGAAAATAAGTCATAAACATTACTAAAATTAACCGAATTTAAAGGTAATAGAGCGTCAAAATGCCACGTATTCTATAGTCGTACGTGCAATCAACCGGCAATACAAAAAGGCAGGAAATACAACGTGCCGGCATACCATAGACTTATAATTGAATAGACTATATTTAATGATGCCTTCGTATCTATGATGACAGGTATCATAAAATACATGTACAATAGGCAAAGTCGGAGTAAGCATTATATATAGGAGTATAGATTTTTTCATTATGATAAAATTCAAAAGTCAAAGTGCACATTATACATCGGTGCGCATTATATTCGAGATTTTATGATAGAATCTTTGTGGACAAGTCCTGGCTAATGAGATCATGATGTCATAAAAGTTGTGAAGATCTTTAGAAAGAAAAGATGCCAATTTCACAATTCAGTTCACAGTTCAATTTTGTGTAAAAAAAGTCTCACTTAATTCGTTACTGTTTCTGTAATGTTAAGTGTTACATTCATTACATTATTATACTGCAGTAACTTGACTACAATAATATACATAGCACGGCTAGTGTTTAAATTCATCATATTGGAGGAGTTCCAGTACAGTTTGACATATCAATGGGTCATGCAATAGCTATGTTTGTGATATGTGGATCACAGAACTGAAAAGATTGGGAGCCTTAGTCTATCAGGTTTGTAATCAAAGTGTTAATTAGGATACATTTCATCCCCCACCCTTCTTCAAATCCTTCACAAACCATTAGATTTTCTCCCACCCTTTTGCCAGATAACTATTTGTTCCCAGATACCTTGAAACTTACCTAACACTCCTTGAACTTGGTTTTCAGTAAGGCAAAACAATCTAAGTAGATGGATGTTTATTAGAAGTAAGCAGCGTGCTCTTCTAATTAAGTCTATGACTGGACCAAGAATTCTGCCTTAATTCGGGACTGCTGCTAATATAACAGCTGTGATGCCACCCAAATTTTTCCTAGTTATAGCTAAATACAAACACTGAATAAAGTTGAAGGTAGAAAGGACAAATGTTACAGCTTATGGACTTCCATAATTAAGGGTAGAATCAACCTCATTTCTTTTGAAGCTGTTTAAAAAGAAGACTGTGTTCGTTGTTCTACATTTACATCATTATATACTGTGATTGTTTTAAAGCATTAATAACAAAATATTAAACAATGGATTGTTCATCTTTGTCTGAAGACAGCTGACAACCAATAGTATATTACATTTAGACATGTCTGCCATCTTCTTGGGGACTGTCATTCGTGTCCCCAGTGACACTGCCATAGGATGGAGGGAAAGATGTCGAGGACACAGTTTCAAACGTGTCTAGAGTCCTACCATAATTTTCATGCATCATGAATGCAATAAGTCCTTCCTTCTGTGAAACATCTTCAAGGCTATCACCATCACTAGTTCTATGATGGTATAAGAGAGAGGCCTGCTTCATGGACCGTTGAATCAAATAACTTCTATAAGCCCTCTGGATAATAATGGCAGAAACTTCCTCTTGTTTGTGTCTGAGAGTGGTTGTGATTGGTTCATGAAAAAACTTGGATAGATTGGCAGCCAAAAACTTTTCTTCTGTTTGTTCTTTCAGTTTGTCCATCTCCCCAGATTCTCCTAATACTCGTTTGGTAAAAGCAAATAAAATATCAAAACAGTGAATCCTGTCTCCACTGGCCAAAGGAAGGTCCATAGCAATGAGCTCAATTTTATTTGGTTTTGCTATGCGTAAAGGCTCTGCCAGAGCATCTGCAAAGTCTGAAAGTGCAGAATACTTAATAAACTGAGTTGCCTCTGGATCAAATTTCTCCCAGACTTTATAAAACATATCAAAGTCATCCTCACCTACAGGATCTGTACTTTCTTCCGTGGCAACATTGAAGTTCTCTAAAATAACAGCTATATACATGTTTACAACAATAAGAAAAGATATAATGACATAACTTACAAAGAATATAATACCCTCAGTAGGCTTGCCACATTCCCCCACAGTACCATGTATGTTTGGATCACAGTGTGGTGGTCCAGTGTTTAAAATAGGATTGAGAAAACCATCCCAGCCAGCAGAAGTTGTGATTTGAAAGAGACAAAGCATGCTGTTAGCAAAAGTTTGGAAGTTGAACATGTCATCAATCCCACTCTCCCACTTAATATAAGCAAACCTAGCCATGCCAAAAATGGCATAAATAAACATGATCAGAAAAAGTAAGAGGCCAATGTTGAACAAAGCAGGAAGAGACATCAATAAAGCAAAAAGAAGTGTTCTAATTCCTTTGGCAGCTCGGACAAGTCTTAGTATTCGTCCAATCTGAGCCAAGCGAATGACTCTGAAGAGTGTAGGTGAGAAGTAATTTTCAAATGCATTAACAATGTCAGAAAGCACAGTACCTAAAAAAAGGAATAATCAGTTAGAATTTCTAATTTTTCTGAATTATTAACTGAAAGAATTATATTTTTCATAAAACTGATGTATGCCTGACATTAATGTGTTGATGATCTAGCACTGGCAGCTTTGATGGGAAAATTTACACATTTAAAAAAAAATTAATTACTTATCTCTAAAAGTTTAAAAAAAAAAAAAACTTTACTGAAATGTATGTTGTGCCCACAAGAGCTGTACAGTTGCTTCACATGGAAAACATGTAAGTGTAACAAGCACGTGATGTTATATGGGAAATTTTGCACAGTCGCTGAGGGTATGTCTACACTGTCACCCTAGTTTGAACTAGAGTGGCTAACGTAGGCATTTGAACTTGCAAATGAAGCCTGGGATTTAAATATCCCGGGCTTCATTTGCATGTTCCTAGGCGGGTGCCATTTTTAAATGCCCGTAGTTCGAACTACCTGCTCGCGGCTACACGTGGCACGGAGTAGGTAGTTCGAATTAAAGCTCCTAATTCAAACTACCGTTATTTCCCCTGCAAGGAGGTTTAATGGTAGTTCGAATTAGGAGCTTTAAATCCTGGGCTTAATTTGCAAGTTCGAATGCCTTCATTAGCCACCCTAGTTCGAACTAGGGTGGCAGTGTAGACATACCCTATGTGTGTTGCTCAAAAAAGCAACAAAAATGATTAAAGGTCTAGAAAACATGAGCTCTGAGGGAACACTTATGGAACTGGGCTTGTTTAGTTTGGAAAAGAGAAGACTGAGAGGGGACATGATAGCGGTTTTCTGGTATCTAAAGAGGTGTCACAGGAAGGAGGGGGGAGAATTGTTCTTGGCTTCTGATGATAAGACAAGAAACAATGGGCTTGAACTGCAGCAAAGGAGGCTTAGGTTGGACATTAGGAAAAAGTTCCTAACTGTCAGAGTGCTTAAACACTGGAATAAATTGCTAGGGAGATTGTGGCATATCCATCACTGGAGATATTTAAGAGCAGGTTAGATAGACATCTATCAAGAATGGTCTAGACCGTGCTTGGTCCTGCCGTGAGGGCAGGGGACTGGACTTGATGATTTCTTGAGGTCCCTTCCAATTCTAGTGTTCTATGATTCTATGGGGAGAAGGGGCAGGGAGGAAATGACATCAAGGAGTCATGGAAACATATGAAAAAAATATAGAGGGCTATTACTGAGCTTGTTTGTACATTTTTACCTACCAACAATGGACATGATGACCACACTTAAATCAAATATGTTCCAGCCATTGGTAAAGTAGTAGCGTCTTAGGGCCAACAATTTCACAATGCACTCTGTAGTAAAGATGGCAACAAAGAACATGTTGATTTTGTTAAGAATGTTAGTCTTCCGAGTACTTTGATCATCAGTTTCCACCATCATAGTGATCATGTTAAGGCAGATGAGAACCATGATGATAACATCAAAGACTTGGCTTGTTACAATGTCAAAAAAAAAACCTTGATAGTTGTTCTGTAGGAGAAAAAGGGAGTATTTATTAGTTATGAAAATGTGGCCCTGTTTTGGCAAGTGTATATATTTACTTTCAGTTTTTATATATTTCAATGTTATTTAATTCCATTCTAGACAGATATATTAGAGCAAGGAAGAGTGTAAAAAATAATAATATAGCGCCTTCCCATTCTGAAAGATAATCACTTCCAGGGTAAATATGTAATTGTATATCTGTGAATGACTTCATGCATATTTATTCTTTATAATTCTTCAGTGGCAATTTCATGGTCTAGAAATAAATCTATGAACATTCTCTAAACATCACTGGAAACAAATGCATTGCATATAATGCATATATTACATATAATTAATACATTTTGGCTGATTATGTTAATTTTGCTATATTTTTTCACTGTTTAGAAATATTTTAGTTGGAAGAACTTTAGTGGTCTCACCAATGGCCTTGGTATAGGTTTTTGAGGTTTCTTGGATCCCAGCTTTTTCATTGCATTATAATATTTTCTCTGTTCTTCTGTCATAAAGATGTCTTGTCTACCTAAGTATATGGAGATAATGATATTATTATGGACGAGAAAGAGTCAAAAATATTGGAAGCCAACATTTCTTTTTCTGCCTTTTTAGCTTTTGCCTACTTGTCCTAATTAGGCCCATATGCATTTTAAAAAGTTCTATGGGGGCACTCCTTTGGCTCAGAAAGCAGAAAAATTACTAGGTTACTAAAAATTCAGGCACACGAGGAAATGATTAAGTCACTCCCTGTCCTTTGATCTCCAAGTTTTGGTGCTCTCTACCAGCCTTGGCCCACTGCCCAATCACAGAGCTGCTCCTCAGAGCCTGTCCTAGAGTGGTCAGCTCCAGGGAGGGAAGTAACATTCCAGGGATGGTACAGCTGACTTCACATCTTCTCGAATAAGTGCTGCCCCTGGAACCAAGGGTTATATGAATGGAAAACATGGGAAAGGAATGGCAATGCACTTCATTTGTAGTGCTGCTTCAATTACATTCAATACAGATGCTGTTCCATGTAATAAACGTGAATACATATAAACAAAGTTTTAGATCTTCAGTGTACTCTGAAGACATCATGCAAGGGATATATTAGGGGTCTTGAAACAAAGCCAATATACTTATCTTTTTCTTTTGTTGGTTAAAATTGTCAATAATGACACCGACAAAGAGATTCAGTGTGAAGAAAGATCCAAAGATGATGAAAAACACAAAATAGAGATAAATGTATGGATTGCGTTCCCTCTGTGGCTGCTGTTCTTTCTGCAAAAATGATAACAAAGACAAAAAACGACTGAAAATAATATGGCTCTGATCCTAGAATTAGGTCCCTATAAGTTCATTGATATCCTCCCCCCTCCCAGGCAGTTTATTGCTGGGTATCAAATTTACCACATCACTACAAATGCTGAAAAAAGTTGTTTAGTTAAAAACTGTCCATAGTGCACAGCAATAAATCTTGCTTTTAGTGAGTATACATGAGGAGGGGAGAGAAAATCTACAGTATGACTTTTGGACAAAATTAAATCAAAGGACACCATAGCAGATGCGGATGACAATTTATCTGAAAACAATGTTTCTCTTAGCATTTGATTATCCTTCTTGGTAACTTGAAAATATCTTCTAAAAATAAATATGCCAGATTTCCTGTGGTCAGATTTCCAATGGAGTAAGTGGGCAGAGAATTTGGCCCAATATAGTTTACTGGTATTATTGCAACTGTCTGTTGTTTTGTTTTCTTTGAAATTGTGAAGGTCTACCTTGTCCATGTATGGAAGTGATCACTGTAAATCTGGGGTGGGCAAAAGCCTCTCAGCGGGCCAAATCGGGCCTCCCGAGGGTTTTGGTCCAGCCCGTGAGGCAGTTCCAGGCCCCGCCCGCTAATGGACGTGCCCAACCTGTGACATGCCTGCCATGAGGGAAGGGGGCTAGCCCTGGACCATGTGGCTGCAGCAGCGGCTCCTCCGGGGTCTGCCCCAAGCTGTGTGGCCATGGCAGTGGCACCTCTGGAGCTGGCCCTGGGCTATGGTGCCTCCAGGGCAACCTGTGGCCACGGTGGCGGCACCTCTGGGGCCAGCTCCGGACTGCAGCAGCAGTGTCTCCTGCCTCTAGGGCTGGCCCGGGGCCACGTGGCCATGGTAGCAGCATGTCCAGCTTCTGAGGCTGGCCCAGAGCCGTGTAGCTGCTGCTGCAGCTTATGCAGACTCTAGGGCTGGCCCAGGGCTGCATGGCCATGGCAGCAGTGCCTCCAGCCCTGAGCTGCAGCACTGTGGCAGCAGGGCCCCCCGCCCCCGGGGCTG